GAGGAAAAAACGTGTGTTGTTGTTTTGTTAGTTTCTTGTCGTCCAAACACATGCATCAGACACACCATCCGATTACTAAAACGATAGCGTCATACTGTTGTAGGCACATAACAGGGTTGTCATTTTTGGTGTGTGTTTTATGTAAACCATCATCACGTCTCAATTAGGTTCATTGCTTAATTTTGAATAACGTTGTTCCCGAACAGAACCGCAGTCCGTGTTGTTGTTTTTTTCTAATCGAGCGGCGGTCAAGGGCGCTTGATTCTGTTAATTGCTTCAAGGAGGCGGACGTGGGCGGCGTGCAGAAAACACACACACACACACTGGCTTCACGTGGTGTCTGTGTTAGAGGAGGCTTTTTTTACTCCTGTATATGTAGTAAAGGAGAAGTAAAAGTCCTTTAGTAAGGGTCATTTGTTGAAGAATTTACCATCAAATGTTAAACCAGATCCTTAAAGGGGTCCATATATCAGCAGGTAGTGTCTCTACTTTAAAGAGTCCTCTCCTGCTGATGTTCAGGTGTATATCAGTATGTAGTGTCTCTACTTTAAAGAGTCCTTTCCTGCTGATGTTCAGGTGTGTATCAGTATGAAGTGTCTCTACTTTAAAGAGTCCTCTCCTGCTGATGTTCAGGTGTGTATCAGTATGTAGTGTCTCTACTTTAAAGAGTCCTCTCCTGCTGATGTTCAGGTGTATATCAGTATGTAGTGTCTCTACTTTAAAGAGTCCTCTCCTGCTGATGTTCAGGTCTATATCAGCAGGTAGTGTCTCTACTTTAAAGAGTCCTCTCCTGCTGATGTTCAGGTGTATATCAGTATGTAGTGTCTCTACTTTAAAGAGTCCTCTCCTGCTGATGTTCAGGTGTATATCAGTATGTAGTGTCTCTACTTTAAAGAGTCCTCTCCTGCTGATGTTCAGGTGTATATCAGTATGTAGTGTCTCTACTTTAAAGAGTCCTCTCCTGCTGATGTTCAGGTGTATATCAGTGTGTAGTGTCTCTACTTTAAAGAGTCCTCTCCTGCTGATGTTCAGGTGTATATCAGTATGTAGTGTCTCTACTTTAAAGAGTCCTCTCCTGCTGATGTTCAGGTGTATATCAGTATGTAGTGTATCTACTTTAAAGAGTCCTCTCCTGCTGATGTTCAGGTGTATATCAGTATGTAGTGTCTCTACTTTAAAGAGTCCTCTCCTGCTGATGTTCAGGTGTATATCAGTGTGTAGTGTCTCTACTTTAAAGAGTCCTCTCCTGCTGATGTTCAGGTGTATATCAGTATGTAGTGTCTCTACTTTAAAGAGTCCTCTCCTGCTGATGTTCAGGTGTATATCAGTATGTAGTGTCTCTACTTTAAAGAGTCCTCTCCTGCTGATGTTCAGGTGTATATCAGTGTGTAGTGTCTCTACTTTAAAGAGTCCTCTCCTGCTGATGTTCAGGTGTATATCAGTATGTAGTGTCTCTACTTTAAAGAGTCCTCTCCTGCTGATGTTCAGGTGTATATCAGTATGTAGTGTCTCTACTTTAAAGAGTCCCCTCCTGTGTTCAGGTGTATATCAGTATGTAGTGTCTCTACTTTAAAGAGTCCTCTCCTGCTGATGTTCAGGTGTATATCAGTATGTAGTGTCTCCATGCTTTAATGTTCAAAAAGCTCTTTACTTTTCTCATACTGCCTGAACGTACATCGATTCAGGACTAAATTGCTTTAGTAAAACGTTGCTTTTCATTTGAACCAAAACTGTAATTATACTTTGAGAAAATCCCCTTTTAAAACAGTGTGAAATTAAAAGTTAATCTGCAGTGAATGGGTTTTTTTTATTTAGTCCATTTTTTTAGCGATGAAAGCCCAAAACACAAAGCTCTTGTATTTATTATTCTTCAATGATTAAAGTCATGTAATTGTATGTAGTTCATGTTTTTGTTATCTAGTTTTGAAAGGTCCCAACACAATTAAGGTTACTGTTATAAATATGAAGTCACAACTCCTGCCAAATATCCAAAGCCATGGCAGCATTTATTTAGGATCTGCACCATTTTCTTCCTTTTCCCCTCAGATTCATTATGAGATGTGGTCAGCGAAGCCTCCTTAAACCCCTCTATACTTTATATAGCGGGGTTTTCAGGACTCACTAACACTCACTTTGTATTTTCATCATCAGCAACCAGTTATTTTCTCCAGCCATTTCATTAAACATCACCAATCGTCCTTCTATTAAAGCAGAGATGTCCATTTTTACCTCTCATGTCGCTGCTCCTAACGAGCAATAAGCGTTTCATTTCCCGCTGTGTGGGATACAGTAATTGCATTGTTTCCCTCCGGAGACCCCGCTGCCCACGGTCCATCTGTACGTGATTTACTGTCGCATTATTTCATAGATATCACACATAACGGGAGGCCATGTTGGTGTCCTGCCAGGACTGAGGACTCGCTTGTTACGAGACATTTTACCGTGTTCAGTTTGTAGAGCTGCAATATCTACTAGAGGAGAAAAGGCCCATACTAAAGCACAACCATGGGTCTCTATTACTTTAAAGAGTCCTCTCCTGCTGATGTTCAGGTGTATATCAGTATGTAGTGTCTCTACTTTAAAGAGTCCTCTTCTGCTGATGTTCAGGTGTATATCAGTATGTAGTGTCTCTACTTTAAAGAGTCCTCTCCTGCTGATGTTCAGGTGTATATCAGTATGTAGTGTCTCTACTTTAAAGAGTCCTCTCCTGCTGATGTTCAGGTGTATATCAGTATGTAGTGTCTCTACTTTAAAGAGTCCTCTCCAGCTGATGTTCAGGTGTATATCAGTATGTAGTGTCTCTACTTTAAAGAGTCCTCTTCTGCTGATGTTCAGGTGTATATCAGTATGTAGCATCTCTACTTTAAAGAGTCCTCTCCAGCTGATGTTCAGGTGTATATCAGTATGTAGTGTCTCTACTTTAAAGAGTCCTCTCCAGCTGATGTTCAGGTGTATATCAGTATGTAGTGTATCTACTTTAAAGAGTCCTCTTCTGCTGATGTTCAGGTGTATATCAGTATGTTGTGTCTCTACTTTAAAGAGTCCTCTCCTGCTGATGTTCAGGTGTATATCAGTATGTAGCGTCTCTACTTTAAAGAGTCCTCTCCTGCTGATGTTCAGGTGTATATCAGTATGTAGTGTCTCTACTTTAAAGAGTCCTCTCCTGCTGATGTTCAGGTGTATATCAGTATGTAGTGTCTCTACTTTAAAGAGTCCTCTCCTGCTGATGCTCAGGTGTATATCAGTATGTAGTGTCTCTACTTTAAAGAGTCCTCTCCTGCTGATGTTCAGGTGTATATCAGTATGTAGTGTCTCTACTTTAAAGAGTCCTCTCCTGCTGATGTTCAGGTGTATATCAGTATGTAGTGTCTCTACTTTAAAGAGTCCTCTCCTGCTGATGTTCAGGTGTATATCAGTATGTAGTGTCTCTACTTTAAAGAGTCCTCTCCTGCTGATTTTAGTCTTTGCAGACCATTTACATGCACCAAATATATATATTTGTTTAAGTCTGTAGGACCTGATTTCTCTGCTGCACACATTTGTTTGTGTTTCTGTCTGCTGATATAAAGCTACCCCCCTCACACACACACACACACACACTCTCTATCTGATTGAGCTGGTCGATACTCTCATTTGATTTCTCTCAGATGCTCTGATTGATTTTAGTCCTTCATTTTTCTTTCATATCCTGAAGGTTTTTTTATTTTTAATAAATGTTATTGCGCTCTGATCCTCCCCCTCTTTACAGATTTTTACTCTGATATGAAGAATTGATTCTTGGCTTGTAGTCTCACAGAATCAGAATCAGGTTTATTGTCAAGTAGTTGAACACACTCGAGGAATTTGCTTTTGTGTATAAAGAAACACAGTGAGAGGTATCAACCTGATGAGCAAATAAAGAACTATTATACAACTGTTATTAGTGTATAACATATATTTAAAAAACCTAAATAAATACATTTAAAATATAAAATGTAAAGAAATGTAAAAATAATAGAATTAAAATGTTTTACATCAAATGTCAAGAAAAAATAAAAATAAATGTGCAAATAATAAAATAAAATAATTAAAGGTAGGGTAGGTAAGTTTGAGAAACCGGCTCGAGATACACTTTTTGTTATATTCCATGGAATGCTCTTAACATCCCGATACCAATGAATATCTGAAGTGCTTTGACAAAAAATCCATAAAAAAATATCATCTGTGGAAGCTGTAGTACTGTAAAAAGCACGACCAATCATCTGAGCCAGCCCGGCTAAAATAACTGGATGGCCTACCTGCCTGTCAGCCTTCCATCGGGGCACAAACTTATCTCGTGCCCTCATTGGTCATGTGCGCGTTCGTGTGTGTTGGAGGAGGGGCTCTGTAAGGAAGTGGCAGATTTTCTCCGGTTGTGTGTTTTCAAATTCTACACACTCGAGCTGGTTTCTCCGAAATTACCTACCCCACCTTTAAATATACAAAAATATCCCAAAAAGCACAACAAGAATATGACAAATTACTCATAGACTTCTATTCAATCTGGCTCTTATGCAGCCAACAGTATCGCTCTCCGCTGGCCATTTAATGTAATTACGTACAAACACCGTTTCTGTGTCTCTTTGCTCAGGAAACGATGCATCCATGAGTCTCACTCTGATTAGTTTGTTGTCATATGTAATCAGCTTCCAGTCCTTTTAAACGTGTTTGAAGTATATTGCATATATTCAGATATAATAGCACAGCAGTTATTTATCTTCTGAACATTCAGAGTTGGTCAAACCTAACTGGGGTAGTTAAATGATGTACAAAGTGTGGCCATTTTCTCATAGACGTCTATTCAATCTGACTGTTATGCTACCAGTAGTGTCACCCCATTGATGAACATGCAGGCTATTGGATGAATTTGAGTGCCTTCCCTCACCCGTGTCTCTCTGCCCAGGAAACGATGCATCCATGAGTCTCACTGTCTTTATTGTTGTGACACTCTTTCTGACCCATGTTTCTGTTTGTCTCTGCAGGGCGGGGCACCCCGGCACCCCCTCGGTGGGTCAGGAGGGAGAGGAGAACCCTTCAGCGCTGGCAGAGAGCTGCTTCAGAGAGCTGCTGGGACGAGCTGCGTACGGAAACATGAACAACGCCGTCAGACCCGTCTTAGT